TTTTTTTTGAAGAAACACCCCCTCCAGTGATAGTGGTGCTGGTAAGGGCAGACACCACTAGCACCTTGGAAGAGGCTCCATCTATTGGTGGGGAGCATCACCTACTGGAAAACGGGTCCAGTGTCCCATATATCAAATGAATTTGGAGTACAACAAAAAAATGAGGAGTGAAAAATTCCTGCCAGCATTGATTGCCCAAGAAGCTAGGGGATTGACTGAGCAGGAAGTTGGAAGAAGGAAGAGAACCTCTTCACCCTGAACCAGGCGCCAGATACTTGCTGCAAAAACCTAGTTCCTCCCTTCCCCCACCTGCCCCTTTTACCTCCCAGGGCCACTGCTTGTTATTTGTAGTAAACATCCTATTGTTGTAGTAATCATCCCATTGCCCCAAAACAAACTAAGCTGCACAGATTTCTGCAGGCCTCTGAGCCAGACCCCCCCCCCTTTTTTCCTTTGCTCCCCCCTATTCCCCCCTGATCCCCATTTCTTCCTACCTGTTCCACCCTCCCCATCTTTCCCCCATCTTTCCCCCCAAGCCAGTTTGCACTGAAGTCCTGAATTTTTTTATTTATTTCCCGTTGCGTTTGTAAGTGACTGATCTGTGTTTTAGCTTCTTCCCAGTGTATTGTTATCCCTGTTTGGATTTGCTGCTGTAAGGTTTCTGTGAATTCCGGCCCTTCCAATCTCACTCCCTCCATCTCGTATGTGCATCGGCGGGTCCTGAGTGCCCATATCACTGCCCTGCGTCCAAGCTCAAAGAGGTTATGAACGAAGGCGTCTGCTTGTTCCTCAGACCATGTTTCTAATAGTAATGCTCTCCAGTCCCATGGCCAGGGCGTTGTTGTTTCTAGCTGGTTCCAGATCCTGTCCCACCAGCGCCAGAGCCAAACTGCCCCCGGACATTGCAGAAAAATGTGTTCTATTGTTTCTGGTATTTTCCTAGCTGGGAATGAAGTAGAGCACAGCTTGCATGAAGGTAGAGCCCGTCCGCTCTGTTCCAGGGACGTCCGGTCTATCAGCCAATCATTAGTCGGTAGGCAGCGGTGATCCATTTGCCATTGGAGGGAAGCCAGTTTCGCAGGTTTCCCTTTGGCTAGGCGGAACCATTTGACTTCCCAAAGTGATTCTTTGCTGATATTTAAGTGCTTCATCCATGTGGCCGCTACCTGGTCTCGGAGATTGGTTTTGGGTCGAAGCATTCTGTACATTGATTTGACTGACATGTTGTGTAGCGTTTGGGTGCCTGACTTCCTTTCCCCCCCGAACCCTGTCCATGACCACTCCATCGGGTCTAGAGGTAACTGCGCGATCGGGGTGTCGGGGGAGAAGGCCACCCATCCATCCCCGTCCTCAAGCACTCTAGTTCGTGACAGTTCTTCCTCCTGATACCAGCGTATCTCTTCTGGGGTGGGTCTTTGGAGAGTGTTGTCCCGTCCTATTGTGTATATGTCCACAGTCACCCCACCTTTTGGGTTGCAACATACCACCTTCCCCATTTCCCCTTTGCTACCATGGATCTGCACCCAATCTGTTTCCTGTAAAGTGGGCCCTTTCCTGAGGATTTTCCACCAGCTCAGGGGAATCCTTTCAACTATCTCCTCAAGAGCCAATTCCGGTCGATGGCTATATCGCAGCGTTTGTCTGAGCAGGTCCTTGTCAATCCAATCTCTCTTGGTCAGATCCCATATATCCCTTATTCTCATTACGCCTCTCTTCACCCACACACGACAGGGGGAATCCATACAGTGGAGAACCTGACTCCTGGTGTTAGCAATTCTCCTATTGTCAAAGAGTGGTTGGCGGAGCACCTCATCCCATCGGGTTGGCTTTTGTCAGGTAGGGGAAGGGATCTCCATGTTTTTAGCAGGGATGGCCAAAAGTGATCGTTTCGCAGGTCGTTTCTTGCCCGTTTCCTTGGCGAGTTTAGTCCCGGGTTTTGGTGCAAGGCTGATTCTCAGGTAGTAGAAAATCCAAGGGCAGTCTAGGTTTGAAAGTCAGTAGCAGACTGTTGGGGTTCACACCTGTTGCACTGTGCACAGCGTTGTTGTACAGACTGGCGATGAGAGCAAGTTTCTCATCCCAGTCCACCTGATTGGGCTTGATATAATGCCAGAGCAGGTGTTGAACAACGTGGTTCAGCTGCTCTGCTTGTCCGTTTGCCTCTGGGTGGTTGTTGGAGGTCATCTGCAGCTGTGTCCCTTGTTCTGCAGCTGCGGCCTTCCACAGTTCACTGGTGAATCGCACATCCCGGTCACTGATGATGGACTTTGGCAACCCGAAGTCCCTGACCCAGTTCTCTTTGAACAACTTAATCATGTATTCGGTCTTGGCTTGCAGGCATTGCGACTAATCTATCATACTTGCTAAACCTGTCCACAATGACATAGACATATCGCATTCCACTCTTGCTGGTGACCAGCGTATCCATGAAGTCCATGGACAGACTCTCACCTGGCCTTTCTGGTATCAGAAGGGGCTTGAGTAGCCCAAGAGGGGCCTGTGTACGTGGCTTGTCTCTCTGACATACCTGACATGTCTCCACATACAGCTTGGCGTCTCTCATCATTGTGGGCCACCAGAACTGCTGCACCAAGTTGGTTGCAGTCTTTTTATAGCCAAAATGTCATGTGGCATCGTGACACTCACCTAAAAATAAACTACACAAAGACTCCCGACAGAAGTCGCTTTGTCATTCGCCTCGAGTCTGCGTATCAGGGTTGTCAGGCGGGGCCCCCCGGGGGCAAAGTCGGGGT